ATCGTCGAGAGAGAGAGAAAGGAGGTGACAAGAGAGAGAGAGAGAAGAGGAGAGAAAGTGAGAGGAAAGAGAGAGGAGAGGAGAGAGACAGCAAGAGGGAGAGGACCGAGAGAGAGAGAGAGCAGGAGAGAGGAGAGAGGGGGGGGGGGGGGGGGGGGGGCGGGGGGCGGGGGGGGGGTGAGGAGGAGAGAAGAGAGAGAGTGAGTGAGAGGAGAGAGAGAGAGAGAGAGGAGAGAGAGAGAGAGAGAGAAGATGAGAGAGAGAGAGACAGCAAGAGGAGAGAGCGAGACAGAGAAGAGACGAGAGAGATGAGAGAGAGAGAGACAGAGAGAGGAGAGAGAGAGAAGAGAGAGAAAGGGCAGAGAAGGAAGAGAGAGAGAGAGAGAAAGAGAGACAGAGAAAGAGGAGAGAGAGAGAGGAGAGAGAGAAACACAGTGAGGAGAAGAGAGAGCAGGCGCGTATAACATAAAACACATGCTGCCCTTCTCTCTCTGTAAGTGGCCACACAGATTATCAGGCAGCACAGTCCTGAAGCCGGGGCGACACGCTGTCCTGGAGCCGGGGCGACACGCAGTCCTGAAGCCGGGGCGGGATGGCCTTAGGCTTGCGCGGCGACGTCTCCTTTGATGCCCGCGGTGACTCCGTGGACGGCCGCGGTGACGTGCGACGCGACTCACCGGCCTGCAGCGATAGCGACGACGATTGTCGCCACAGTGGTGCCCCCTGCCCGTGAGATTCGGCGCAGCTGCAAGAACCGCGACAAAACATCTTACAGTTGCTTCATCGTCGACGCTATTTGACGTTATTGTCGGGTTAAAGAGGGTCGCGTGGGAGTTAATAGATGCATATTGAAACATGTATTCTGAATTTGGGCTGCTAACCGGAGTAGAAAGATATGTGCTGGCTGGTAATGTCGCTCTTATAGGATGTTCATATTTCACCTCGGCTCTAGCTCCCATTTCGATTCAACTATCAAAATTGATTCATATTCGTTCTCATTGACATCCCACATGACTGCAGCCACCCAGCCGGCTCTAGTGCATAAAACCACTCCACGATAAACGATACAGAAATAGCAATGCTTGTGAAAAAAGAATGCGCACATGGGTGAATATATATCGGTCTCAGCGTAACCATAGTTTTACCTCAGCTCAACAGTTCCATTCCTGTGAATCGCAGGGAAGTCGGCAGACCTGTGTATCATGGCGGGTAACGAGTCAAAATCCTTCGATGCCATGCTGGTGCCCCGCAGGCCCTTGTTGTGTAGCCTAGGTGTCGTGGGGCGCCTTAGAACCTCAGACTTGCTCGTCGAAGTATCGCTCTGCTGCAGAGAGCAAATTCCTTGTAAGGACAGGATATACATCGGATTGCTGTCGGTATGCAGCTTAATGAACTATCATCAACCGATGCAACTCAGCAACTCTACTCTCTTAATGAGCTATCGTCAACTAATGCAACTCAGCAACTCTACTCTCTCAATGACGAGCGTTAAACGATAGTGACTACACCAGACAGTCGCGACCCTGCGAGTGCTCCGAACCGTTTTCTTCGCCTTCTTGACTTTGCTGCTCGGTGCGATATATTCCACCTGCAGCAGCGTCTCTCCTGTCAGTTCACTCGGATTAGGGAAGAGCACCTCCTCCTTGTCCAGATCTGCTTCCATCGTGTCCAAATCCTCCTGCAAAACATGCAGAGAAAGACGATACATACTTCCGCACTCACGGAGGAGCATACTGCACATCAGATCCCCCCCGAGTCGTTCTACGATAGACTGATCATTGCTGGATTGTAATTAATGGCGACGACACTCTCGTCACCACGGTGACCAGGAGGCGTCACTGATACAAACGGCTTCACGTGTTACCATGGCAATGCCACGGACACAATCAGTTTCGCGAGGTACCATGGCAAAGTCGCCAGCGTGATTGCAGGTGACGCGGAATCAACATCATGAACACTTCCAGCATCGTATTGTGTATATTGTCAAAACTTTTGCATGTGGTGCAAAAATGTTATAACCCTGCAGACTTACGCGCCGTCATTCATGTTTCTCACGACGCACCCCAACATCGCTGCATCACCACGGCAACCTCCCCCCCTCACACCACACCCGAACAGATTCACTGGTTGCTACGGCGACGCGACCGCTGCGATCACCCTCGCTGCTGCGACCATCACTCGCGGTTGCCACGGCGACCGTACCTCGTCGTCCTCGTCCTCCTCGTCGTCGTCGATGTCGGATTCCGTCTCGTTCTTCTCGGCGTTGTTCAGCTGCCGGATGATATACTCCACCTGACGACGCATATCCGCGTCGCTGTCGCCACGGAAACCCTCCAGCACCTCCTGCAGACTCATCACGTGCGCAGCTTCACGTATCGACGGCACGCTGAGCAGGCTGTACAGCGCACCGTTCACGTACGGCCGGATCTACGTAACCATAGCAACGGTACATAACCACAGATAGAGCATGGTTCATACAAGAGGACGGAAATTTTTTCCAAGGACTTTTCAAGGACTTTTCAAGGACATTTTATCGGAAATTCAAGAACATTTTATCAGACATTTTATCGGAATTCATACACAGAACAAAACATACCTGGATTAATTTAATAACCCCATTCTTAATCACTGCATGTTACCTCTAAAACTTACCTGGATCACATTAATAAACCCTTCTAAACACTGTCATTTCTACAACATACCTTGATTTACTGACTGATTTCACTGACTTACTGCAATTTGTGATCATCATTTAACTGTCTATTGTGTCTATAGCTTTTTAAGCTCATTTAACACAATTTTTATTGAGGTTTGCACATTATTGATGGTACAAAATTTCTTTTTATTACA